TCTCTAAGCCTTGGCTACTTGCCTTGCTTCTGAGCCAGAATGGCCCTAGAAATGACTGCTACCACACTGTGTGCTTATGAAAGCCAGCTGCTACCATCATTACCACTCACCAAGGAGACCCCATGTTAATGGATAAGGAGAGACTGTGGAGCCTGGACACTCAACAGGCTGTACTCAAGGCGGCTCTGGCTTCCCCAGGGGTTGCCTGGAAGAACTGGTTAATATCAGCAGAAAGAATGATGAAATTAACCCTCTGTGACCAGTAAGTGACAGGAGATGTAAGGCACCTGCATATGAAGTGCCCATCCTCCTTCCCCAGGAGGCACTGTTCTGTTCTGTGACGCGTATGGTCTCTCAGGAGGCATCCCACACAACTGAGCAAGAAGCTGAACTGCTCAACGGCTATGACCAGCTCAGGAATACTCAGTCTTCTATTTGCCCTCCCTCATTCCCTGTATCGTTTCTCTATTTCCCTAACTCTTAATTCCCTGGGATTGTAACACCCCTTCCCCCAGTAAAGTGTTAGCACATAAGCTTTTGCCTGTGTTTTCTAGGAAATCTGAGCTAAGACACGAGATGATTACTTGAGATACGTAATTTTATTGTATAAAAAGTAGTTGGCAGACTGCAGCAATCAGAGTGAGTACTGGAGGACACTGGCCGTCAAAATTCCTTCCCTCTTCCCCTCTATGATTCAATAGTATGAAAAGCAACTCTTAATGCTTTAGTCCATATTTTGGATACCACATACCTCCTGCAGTAGGAACTAAAGAATTATAAATTTTCTTGATATATGGAATGTTTCAATATTTTATATCCATAGCTATATCTTCCATTTTTATGCATTTAAAAATTCTCTTTGCTAAGATTCAGGAAGACTTTTTAATTTAAAATGTTGTATTACTACGAAAAGCACCAAATAAACCCATTCAAAGTTCAAATTATGTAGCCATGGGGGGCAGTATATCTTACAGCCAATTCATTCTTGTAGGATTACCAAAACATTGTATTCTATTAAAAGTTAGATTCATGGATGGGCCAGACAAAAATTTTTTAACATTGGGGTAGTGCTACATAATATCAATCCTTAAAACATTTTGGACCTAAATTGGTTCTTCCATATTTAATGGCACATACTGTGGGATACGAGCTGGGTATTGGTTTGAGTATGTTATCAGGTATGACAATATTTTATTTGTGTCTCAGGTCCATCTGAGAGAATATGCTGGTTTCCTAAGTATTTATTACAGAATTACCAACTCTGCCATAGGCATATTTAGAATTTAACACAAAAGAAATTCTCTTCAATCAATAGTACAGAAAAATAGGACCTCAGACTCATCAGATAATTCATCTGTGAATTAGAAATTGGACATTCACCAAAAGGAAGATGCAGTTTGCCTAATATTTGAGAAAGATGGCCTGGAAGATGAGTTAACACTCCATTCCTCTCGCTTATCTAAGCTTCACTGTCATTAATTTAGATTTAGCAGTAAACAAGAAATCTATATTATAGTACCTTAATATTCTAAAGAAATGTTTTCACTAAATTATTATTTAATGCTATATGCTCAGATTTTAGAGAAGAGCAATAAACGAAGTAACCATCTAAAGAATGTTTCTGAGTTTTTTATAAAATCAGTTAATAAATGTGGTCTACTGCAGTATCAAAGCTCTTTGTTGATCTAGGTGAGAAAAACCCATAATGCTCAGAAAAATGATGTTATTTGAAATATTATTATTATTATTTGCCTTAGCAAAAATTAAAAAGTGAAATCTAGCATTCAACTCCAATAATTATGTTTTCAGGTAACTGATAAAGCATTTCTTCCCTTCCAATTAATGTCAGCTTCTTTATAAGATTTAACTCTCCCTTTTAATGCTTTTGATACAGAAGTTGCTCCAAACCTAAAAATTAATTAACTAAATATACAATAAAGTTACTTAATAAGTAGTTATAGCAAAAGCATATTTACATATATTACAGATGAAAGAGGGAATTTTGTAATCAGGTTAAATCAGGCAAGTTTTAATTTAACAGGATCATGTCAATAATACACATATGTGATAGAAGAAGAAACAAGCTGGCAAGTCATTCCTCTTTCCTTGTTTTCCATGTTTTTTGAGCTTTACTGCATTCTTCATGGAGAATTTCCCTATAACACCACTTTTCTTTTTACCTACTTTGTTTCTCTTCTCAGTGACTTTATGGACTACTTTACAGGGAAAGAATTTAAATAGAAACTATAGCAAATATTAATAATTAACCAGCTACAGGGATAGAATTCAATTACCACACACTTTGTGTGATTTCCAAACTTATTTGATATAATTCATTATAAGAATTATTGAAAGTGACAAATAGCCTTTCATATTTGTAGCTTATGTGAATAACCCCACTATTAGACCATGTCTAATTATGTCAAATAGACATCTCCGTGTAAAAAGTATGGTAGATTACTACATTTATAAACAATACATTTTTCAGTGGTTTTGTTGGTATCACATAGTCAATCTCAGAGAAGAGTATCTTTAGAAGGAATTAATTAGATATATCTCTGTTTCTCAACTTTGTATTATTTCATACCACTTACACAGTATTTTGTTAAGAGTAGCATGTTACATAAATTTGGTGTGAATTATAGTCCCAAATCGGATGGAGATCGCTAAAAAAAAAATCTCATTAGGAAGTGCAAATCCCCAAATCTGGTGTCCCGCATTACACCTATAAATGTGTGGCAATTCCCAGCACTTCAAAAGCCTGCCTCTTGCTGAGACAGTCATACCTGCTGGTCTATATCCTCTGTTTTGGGATTAATTGCTAGGTTTCACCATCATGGGAATACTTGTACACTGTTCTAAGTTCAAAGGTAGCCCTTTCTCTCGGGTCACGCTCCGTATCTCATTTGATTTCTTGTCCTTTGTCTGGCCTGAATCCTAGTGTCTAAATATTAGATGCCACCACTAGTTGTCTTTCAGACTTCCTTTCTGAATAAGGAACCTTTCTAATGTCACTAAATTTGACCCTATTTATCAAACTGATCTCTCTGAAACTGCATTCCTCTTTCAAGGTAAAATGGTTTTGTTGGCTAGCAACACCTTCTCCATCATCCAGCCCCATCATCCAACTATCAACACATTCTTGAGGCATTAACTTTTATGCTACTTAGGAAATCAGTTCTTTATTTGATGTTAGGTGATCCCTTCAGGTTTTCATCCCTCAACAATTCACAGAAATTTTATATGAAACAATTAATGATAAAAAATCAAAATCTACCTAATTATTATTATACCTATTCTTATCTATTATATAAGCCCATAATATATTAGTGTTAGGCTCATTATATGCCATTAACCATTATACCCATTAGATCAGAGCTGCATCTGGTAGTACATACGTGATTTACATTTTGAAATTTACAAGGATGATGATACAAGAACAATATATTCCTCCAACTATAATAGTGAGTTAAAAAAATTAAAAAGTGGCCGGGCGTGGTGGCTCACGCCCAGCACTTTGGGAGGCTGAGACAGGTGGATCATGAGGTCAGGAGATAAAGACCATCCTGGCCGACATGGTGAAACCCCATCTCTGCTAAAATACAAAAATTATTCGGGCATGGTGGCGTGCGCCTGTAGTCCCAGCTACTCGGGAGGCTGGGGCAGGGGAATGGGTTGAACCTGGGAGGCGGAGATTGCAGTGAACTGAGATCGTGCCACTGCACTCCAGCCTGGTGACGCAGTGAGACTCTGTCTCAAAAAAAATAAAAAATAAAAAATAAAATAAAATAAAAAATTAAAAAGAAACTTTAAAATAGTTTCTTCAGAACAGCCTAAAATTCATTTTGGCAGCAAATATTTCACTTTTTTTTTTTCTTCTTTTAAAAGAAGGCAAAGTAGAATAGTTTACACTTACAAACTAAAAAGCTTTTTTGTTGTTGAGACAGAGTTTCGCTCTTGTCGCCCGGGCTGGAGTGCAATGGCGCAATCTCGGCTCACTGCAACCTCCTCCTTCCCAGGTTCAAGTGATTCTCCTGCCTCAGCCTCCCGAGTGGCTGGGATTACAGGCTTGCACTGCCACGCCCGGCTAATTTTTGTATTTTTAGTAGAGACAGGGTTTCACCACGTTGGCCAGGCTTGAACTTCTGATCTCAAGTGATCCACCCGCCTCAGCCTCCCAAAGTGCTGAGATTACAAGCATGAGCCACTGCCCCCGGCCTCCTAAAAGGTTTTCTTTTCTTTTCTTTTTTTTTTTAAACAAGAACAAGAACAAAAACAAAAAACAAAAACAAAAGTCTTTATGGGTATCATCTTCCCAGAACGTTTATGATTGATTTTCCTACTCAATAGCCTTATGAAAATAAAACGTAAGCTTAACAAGGTTCATATTAACATAAGCAATTTTGTAATTCTATATCCAAATGTTTTCTTTTAGCAAATGTTCCCAGTATTCAAAATATTAAGAGAGAAATAGTCATCTAGTCCTTCCCTTTAATGCAATGATGAAATCAGTATTGAAATCATGGAATATAATCTCCAGTTACTAATTGAAGTGATTCCTAGCACAATGGAAAAGCAGGCTTCTTTCCAATCTCACCAGCCATACCATTCATCATGTCTGTTTTCAAGTAATAAAACTGGCGTTGAAAAAACATCAAGAGGGATAAGGTCAGAACACTGCACCAAAAATGAGAAGTCCCTGGCTTAAAAAGTTTGTCATCTAAAGGGCTGGATTCCTTTATCCCAGCACAGTATACAGCTCAAAGTTAGCTGGAGGATAACATTTCAAATTATGAGTCATAGAAATTGCAAGAAGAATAAACCTGTGTCAAAGGAAGGGCTCCTGAAGAGACCAATTGCACTGGAGCTACAAACTGGTAGAAAGATTTTCAAGACCTCCTTTTTACAAAAGAATCCAAGATGTTGGGTCTAACAAAGGTAAATGTCACAAGAAACCGAAACTCAGACCCAGACAAATACACACATATATATAGTTTTACCTTGCTGCGTTGGGATCCTGTGACCTTAAGGAAGGATGAGGACAAGAAGCAAAATAGCAATAAACAATTGCTCTGAAGACAACGGATAGACCATAAATGGTGTGCACTTCAGAAAAACAGTACTATTTGCTGCTCACAGCTCATTCTAACTGACCTCACTTTCTTATCAATAAAGATGACTTTGAGAATAGAAAACACATACATTAGAAAAGATTATAGAAATCATACCGAAATTAATCTTATGGCATTTTTCTCAGCCAGCAATAGTCATGAGTTCCTCAAATTAGATTGTTTTTATATTTTTGACTCATTGACTTCAATGCTGCAGACATGCTCATAACAAATGGATCCTGGAAGGTCACTGCTCTGAGCTCATTCCTTAGCTAATATGTTTCTGTGGGTCCACTTTAATTAAAGACTCATTGCTGGCTACTGATGTATTTCCAGACTTCTAGCTCAAAGTCCAGACATGTAAATTAAAAGGAAAAGAAAAAGAATCTAATTTCTATTTCCCTGCACTTAATTTCTTTATGAAAATTCTAAAAAAAAAAAAAAAAAGAACCAATAAACAAAAAGAGTGGTAGTTAGCAACAACTAGCTTTTCCTCATAAAAAATGAACGTATAGTATAAGCAAATGGGGAAAATACCAAGAACTTTCCTTTGGGCTAAGTAACATTAAGCAGCATTTCAAATTATATAGGACATTTAAAAGCTGAGAGCACTTGAGAAAATAATCGTAATACAGTCCTAGGGATATACGGACTCCTACCTCATGCAAGCAAACTGCGTTGTGTGCCACTATCTGCATATGTACATGGAATGAGTGATCTAATTGGGCAGAAGTCTTTAAGGCCAAATCTTTAAGACTTCTATTGAGGAAAAAATATCAAACCAAGGGTTTGATGAAAAACTTGATGTCATGTTGTTCTTCAATAAACATTTTCGTCACGTCTGTTGAAAATTCCAGACCACGACATCACTGAGATGAGAACAATTTGAAGCCGTCTCATCTCTGAGGGTTCTCAGGAACACTCATTCTGAACATATGGGCTTCATTATATTATTTAACTATTCTATGATCCTTGGTCTTAACTTCAGCAAATGTTAGGACTCAGGTTTGTCCATCCAGCTCTGACATGCAGTTCCTTGACACAATAAGCTGCAATAAGCCATGAAGCAAGAAACATAAATGTCAGTTATAAGCTATGAAACAATGTTTCAAGATAGAAAAAAGGCAAATCCAGAAAGATCCATCTTACTTCAAAACTCTTCACTTCCTCTTCACCGTCATCATCTTCCTCATCATGACAACTCTGTACATGTTAAAAAAAAAAGCGGGGGGACAGGAATACGTTGAGATTTTAGATAGTGCAAAAGAACATTTGACATAGAAGAGCAAATCATTTGTATTATCATCAACCTTGTTTAAATGTAAGATAGGATACTTAGATGATATAATCAATGAATTCATGACATGAAAGAAAATTATACATAGTGCTTTTACAAAAATAAAATATTAGATTACATATTTTATAGGTAACAGAGATAACTATGAGGTCCATATCATACTACACCTGCTACTTATTCATACATTGGCCTCATTCAAACCAAACTGCAAACCTTAAAAGGATTGCTTTTCTCTTTTTTTCTTTATGCTGCCATTGCAATGCATGAATACAGGCAAATATAATAACCATTAATTAAAATTAGGCCGGGCAAGGTGGCTCACCCCTGTAATCCCAGCACTTTGGGAGGCTGAGGCGGGCGGATCACCTGAGGTCAGGAGTTCGAGACCATCCTGAACAACATGGTGAAACCCCGTCTCTACTAAAAATACTGGGCGTGGTGGCGGGTGCCTGTGATGACAGCTACTTGGTAGGCTGAGGCAGGAGAAAGGCGTGAACCTGGGAGGTGGGAGCTGGAGTGAGCCAAGATCGTGCCATTGCATTCCAGCCTGGGTGACAGAATGAGACTCGATCTCAAAAAAAATAAAATAAAGAAAAAAGAGTCTGAAAAATAACATGCTTTTAATAAATCTCAGCTGCTTTATTATTATGGTCTGTAATATAATAGTGACCAAAAGAAATTGGTCATTAACCAATAGCCATAGTAGGAAGAAGCCTACAGCTCATTAAAGTTAGATTGTTCTAACCTTTATATGTATTTCTTCCGCTTGGTAAGCATTCAGTGTTTCCATGGGGTGTATGAAGGCAGATAATGAAATATAAGCTACAAATCATAAAAATACTTTTATTTCAATTAGACACAGTACTCTGGGCATGGAGATGAACTGGGGATGGAAGGGAAGGTAAACAATGTGACCCTTCCCACCACTCCATGATAAATTCTAAAAGGTTTGTCATATTCTTTCATTCATTCAACAAATACATACTGAGCACCACCCTTTCTGTTTATAATGATAGGCACATGAGCATAGTTTGCAAAGGAGGAAATAAAGGTGGGAACGCAGGCCTAGGACAGTTTCACTGTCTGGTTAAGATGTCAAACTGCATGTTTCATCACAAAAGCAAAGATGTTAATGATTCACTCAGAAAGCAGGAAATGTTCTACTGTAAGTTTCTGTTACTCTGTTATTAGTTATTAGTTACATGTTATTACATGTTATTAGTTAGCCAGGATTTAAAAAAATAAGAACTCATGAGAACTTTAGCAAAACAGATTTGGAAGGCAAATCTGCGGTCTTCCATCAATACATACTGTACATCTACTGTCGAAAACAGAGCAATTTTGCTTAGCTGCTCCTTAAGACCTACCTATTCTAATGTCTCCCATTATTCCCAATGATTAGTAATGTACATTAGTAAATAGGAGTAAGAAGTATAGGAATTTTATCAGATAACAAGCATGCTTACTCTCTATGCAAATTAGAATACTAATATAAAATGTCTCAAGGATATGAAATTTTACATTTTCTCAAAGACATAAGCTTCTATAAAAATTTCATGACCTTCAGAAACATAGGAGAAACACAAGGTTTGAAATAAAGAATACATTCAGAAAAATTATTATTTGGGATTATAATGATATGTTTTTAAGTTATAAAACTCATAAGCCATGTTTGCTTTTGTACAAAGGAATGATCCATTTAAAGCAGTAGCTGAAAAAAAAAGTTTTATAAAAAAGTATTTTGAAATAAAATATTTTAAACTGTTTTTTAAAAAATCTTCCAAGGAAAATTTAATGAGATTTGATCCTAATGAAGTTAAAAATCTGTGATTTTTAAAAACTATTAAACCTGAATTTACTTGGTGTATAGACTATATATTACAAATTCATCAAACCTATCAGAACTACTTTAAACTTCTAATTAGCTTGAGAATATGCTAAGATCACAAACAAATGGTTATCAGATGTCTAGCAGCTTTTGAATATACTGTAGAGAAACAGAAGGATTTGCTGGAACAAAAGATATGTTCTTCAATAGCAAATGGCATCCATGTGACATAGATGGTAATGCTAAGCAAATGGGAAGTTATATTAGACAGCCCTGTAGCAGGATTTGGCTTTCTGGATCAGAATGCTAAGTTCTAGACAAGGAAGAGTCATTCCTTTGCCAGGAAGGAAAAGGCGAATAAGCTAAATACATAAAGGGGCAGGCGTGAAATAAATAATTTAGAAGAAAAAAAATAAAATGGAGGACACTTCAAACCATTCAGGTATCCACAACAGAATTCAAAACTGGCAACACGAATGCATAACGGATTAACGAGGGCTCTTCAGCTTGTCGGTATCTGCTGAAAAGTTCATTCTGCCAGAGAAGTATATTTCATGCATTCCTTTGACTTTCTGATTTGATAACTCCATAGAAGACTAAGGAATCAAAACCCAGAAACTTTCAGTGTGGATTTCAATCTGACTAACAGAGAACTCATGGGTGAGACAGAAGAGAGAAACTCATAAGAATGTGACCGCAGCATTTTATACTTTTAACCAAGAAAGAATGGAACCCTGGGCATAACAACGTGTATCTTAAATATTTTTAAAAAGTTAGTCAGAGAAGGAGTAGAACTAGGAGGAAAGGGAAACTCAATACAGTAGCTGGAAACTCAAAACAGTAGCAACATTGTTGAGTGTTTATGATATCATTGCAGGTATCTTCCTCCACACTGTTACCGATTCAAATTGGTAAAACCACCACTAGGGTGAAGCAGCATCAAATAGCCCAAGAGGGATGACAGCTAGTAAAGAGACATTCTAAGGAATTAAGCAGGGTAGGCATGATGCAGACAAAAAGGGGTGGCAACAGCAAACAGATGGGATGCACTGAAGTTCTCCATAGGACTTTTTAAAGAGGAGGTATATATGATAGGAGCAGGGGAATAGAATTTAGAATGAAGTGTGGCTTGAAAAATACAAAGATGTAAAATGATTTTTCAAATCATCGCCAAAGTATGGTCAACAAGGAGCAGTAAGTACATGATTTAGAGCAGATGCTGTACTCATCATAATAGAGAGGACGTGCAGAACCACTCGTCAGCTCTTTTGTTTCAGAAAGAAGTGATTTTTGGAATACAGAAAAGTACCTAGCCAAGAGAAATGAAAATCATGACTCCAGCAAAATACCATTTCATATCCATTTGGTTGACGAAAGTCAGTAAGTCATATATCAAATATTGGAGGGGGTGTGGATCCTCAGAATCTCTCTTAACTGTTGTTAAGAATGTCCATTGATGCAATAACTTTGGAAAACAGTATGACATTTGTTCCTTTACTTGAAAATGTGTACACTCTGTAGCTCTTGCAAAACAGGTGAAATGGATAAGAATAGGCATTCAATCCCTGTTCGCATTAGCAAAAACATAGAGGTAATACAAAAGTCTATCAACAAAAAAGGTAAATGGATAAGCTCTGGTATATCTGCCCAATAAAAACAATAAAAACAAACGAACTCCAACAGCACACAAAAGTATGGAGGAATCTTAGGAAACACTATTAATCCAAGAAGTAGAGTCCAAAAGATTATACACAGCATACTACCCTTTTAAAAGTCAGTAACAATTTAAATTATATATATATATGAAAATTTATCTATGTATATATAAATAAATGAAAACTATATGAAAAGAAAAGCAAGGGCATCTTGAGCACAAGGCTTAGAATGATGGTTTCTTTGTGTGGGGAGACAGGGTATGGGTTAATGAGAAGCCCGTAGGATAACATGTAAATTCTCTAGGTTGTTTCTTGTTGGGGGTGGGTATATGGGTAGTTACTACATTATTAGAAATGACTAAGTAACTTTTATAAAAGTAGACACTAGTGGACGAACAATGAGTGTGTATCATGAATCCAGAGTTATGATTAACCCAACTCTGTGTTCCTAAGCTTAAAAAACAATGAAACCTGAAAAACAAAAACCTAAGTAAGATATATATGATGCTTTCCAAGGGAACTGCAGTGGTGGAGGAAGATACATACAAGAGTCTCGTAAAGTGAGTTCAAGTCTCAAGTTTCAAGACTCAAAGCAAAAGTAACATCCATGGATGCAGAATGACTGTTGGTAAACTGAGAAACCATGAAGACCAAGAGAAAGTTCCAGAAAACTGGGATGCTAATTTTTAAAATGAGAAAAGATAGCTTCCAAAAACCACCTGCTAGCAAGTTTGATATTAGTAATCAATAATAGTCTAAAACGGTTATCAAGCAAATAATTGAGGAAAACTCATCCATCTTTGGCAGTTTTACCAAAGTTAGAATTCAACTTTAAGCAGTCACAGTAACATCTTGATTTCTTTAAGTATCTCATGAAAGGAGATGAGAAATATGAGTTTTATAAAAGTATGTTTAGATGAATTAAAAATAAGGTAGGTTAACCAGTCTGGGAAAGGGTATAAAAATATCAGCTGCTTACCAAAAACTTAGATAAACAGAGAACTCACTCATACTTATTAAGTTTGTGGTTAATATAAATGGAAAGAGGTAACAGTGGGTGACAGAACCAAATGTTAAAAAGATTTCAGCTTGGGGAAATGGTCTGACTTGAATTAGAGAAATGATGACATATACTTAATTTAAAAATTAAAAATCAACAGTCCAATACAGGGTAGCTGATGTGATCTGGCTAAAAATTTAATGCATTCTTGCCATTGATGGCCAATGTATAAGATCCTAAGGCAGAGTAAGTGAGGGTACAGTCCCCATACACACTACACAGGTAAGGTCATAACTGGAATACCGTGTTTGATTAACTTCTGGGTGGCATATATGAATATAATGGAGAATGTGCAGAGTGTAACAAACTGAGTGGTGCAAGCTGGACATTCCCGAGTTACATTAAACAATAAAAGGAATATGATTAGTTAATTATGAAGGGGAAAATCTTGAGGTAAAGAGTCAACAAGATAGCCCTCCTCAAATTTTTGACCATCTATCAAAAGAAACTAGATTTAGCTTCAGGATCCAACAAAATAAATATGGAGGCAAATTCAATTTCACTCACAAGGAAGAACTCTAACAATCAGAAACAACCTATTCTCAAACCAAGAGCTTCTACGTATTCTCAAACCAGGAGCTTCTACTTGTTCAGCCCACTTCGATTCTTCAGCTGCAGAGAACACCCAGGCCTGGGGCTGCTCTACAACCCTTTCTCGCCTCCCTCTTTCTTCATTTCCTAACAAGCCACCTCCTAGCAATATACAAACCCGCTTTGATCTGCTGTTCTCAACTAGACTCTGGCAGAAATCTGCACCCTTGATGAATCCAACTTCCTGGCTTCTCAGAATTTGCATTTGGTTCTGAGAATTGCTAGTTGTCCTCACACAGCCAGGGGGAGCATGACTACTACAAATTCATAGACAACAGCCTAAAATAAACCAGGCTTCCTACACAGTCTGCGAGTCCTATTTTAATTTCTAGCCCATGTGCCATGCCAATTGCCACGATGTGTCTTTCAGTGCTTCTCTCTCTCCTCCAGTCCTCCTCTATAGACTCTACCAAACACTTCGGTGTCAGCAGATGACTGTACTTTTGTCTTCAGAGAGAGAGAGCAAATGACCGTAAAAGGAAACATTTCCAACCTCCCATTATCCTGGCAGCCTTCCCTTCTTCCCTTTGTATCTTTTATCCTTTGTATCTTTTATCCCTTTATCTTTTTTTTTTTTTTTTTGAGACGGACTCTCACCTCATCGCCCAGGCTGGCGTGCAGTGGTGCAGTCTCGGCTCACTGCAACCTTCCGCCTCCCAGGTTCAAGCAATTCTCCTGCCTCAGCCTCCTGAGGAGCTGGGATTACAGGCATGCACCACCATGCCAGGCTAATTTTTGTATTTTTAGTAGAGACGAGGTTTCACAGTGTTGGCCAGGCTGCTCTCAAACTCCTGATCTCAAATGATCCACCTGTCTCGGCCTCCCAAAGTGTTGGGATTACAGCCGCGAACCACTGTGCCCAGTCCTATCCTTTTATCTTTTAACCCAGTGTTTATTGAACTAGGTGTTTCAGCTCATCATTCAGACGTAAAAACAATTTAGTGATACATGAAAAAAAAAAAACAACTCTTTGTTTAAATAGAATGGAAAATTTCAGACTACATTGCTCATAGGAAGAGTAAAATTTCATGAAACTTTTCTTTCATGGTATATATTTTTATGTTACTTTAAACATACAGTTTTATGTTTCTACAAATATACAGTTGGCCCTCCATGGGTTCTGAATCCACGGAGCCAACCAACTGTGGATAGAAAATATTTGGAGAAAGTAAAATGGGTGATTGTGTCTGTACTGAACATGTACAGATATTTTTCTTGTCATTATTGCATCACAATATGATAGAGTTGAACTACTGACATGGCATTTACATTATATTAGTTATTATATGTAATCTAGAGATGATCTAAGTATACAGAAGGATGTGTGTAGGCTACATGCAAATACTATGCCATTAGTCAGAGACTTGAGCATCCTTGGATTTTGATATCCCACTGGGTGTCCTGGGACCAATCCCCCATGAATGCTGAGAGATGACTGTACCGGGTAAGTGTATTTCTTACTGTAGGTTAGAGTGTAAAATAAATTAGAAAGCCATGGCTTTTCTCTCATGTCCTGTAACCTGTCTTCTCTAGCAGGTCTCATGGACTCCAGACCTCACTTCACAAATGATTCCCTTTCCTATTCTGTTCGTTCCTCACCAGAATATATGTGTGCTTAGATTACTCTCTCTTTAAAAACAAGCAAACGAATGGCAAACAAACAAAAATAATTCCCTTCAACCTCACAATTCCATCTAGATATTTATCATCTTATATCTGTCTGTTCCCTCTCAATCTTTGCAATGAAGAAACAACTATACTATTTCTGTTCATATCTGAATCACTACTTACTTTCCCACACTACAGCACGTCCCCACTCCAGAGCCCCTCTCCACAAACCTCAGAAGCTGTTCTTACTCTGCTCATGTGAAATACATGAAATAAATCTGGAGATTTTCAATCCTTACCTTGCGCAACCTCACAGCAGAATATGATTTTGGTGACCACACACTCAGTCCTATAGCTCCTAGCTCCTATGTTAACTCACACTTAAGGTTCTCTCCGACTTTTTTATGAGCTCCTTTCCTTCTAACCATCTTTAAATGTTCTGTGTCCTTATAGGCTGGGTCCTAGGCCTCCTCGTCTCTTCATGCTATCATCTCTTCCTGGGTACGATCATCTACTCCTATGGCTTCTAATGCTGATAAATCCCAAGTCTATATTTATAAGCCTTACCTGAGATACTGAATGTCAGATGTGGATGTCTAATTGCATGTTTGGCATCTCCACTGAGATGTCTCACAGGCATCTTTAACACATTCACAATTTATTTTGCCGCCTTCTTCTCTCTTCGCTCTAGGCCTGTAATTATTCTGGTGCTGCCATCTCGGTACATGGTACCCAAGTGAGAAGTCTCAGCAAAACCCTGACTCCACTTTTATCTACTTGTCAAGAGGAGTAAATGACATAAACACTCCGTTAATATGAAGCTGTGCTATTTTGCATGGTCAACTCATGGTTCAACAGCCAAAGACTTCCTTAAGCAGACCTCACTGCTATGCCATGGGACCTGTTTCCAATACTCCGAAGAATTTCTTGATATGGTTTGGCTCTGTATCCCCACCCAAATCTTATCTCGAATTGTAATCCCCATGTGTCAAGGGAAGGACATGGTGGGAGGTGATTGGATCGTGAGGACAGTTTCCTTCATGCTGTTCTCTTGATAGTGAGTGAGTTCTCACATGATCTGATGGTTTAAAAGTGTTTAAAAGTCCCCCCCTCATTCTCTCTCTCTCCTGCCGCCACGTAAGATGTACTTACTTTCCCTCTGCCTTCCGCCATGATTATAAGTTCCTAAGAGCTCCCCAGCCATGTGGAACTGTGAGTTAATTCAACTTGTTTCCTTTACAGATTATCTAGTCTCAGGTAATTCTTTATAGCAGTGTAAAAACGGACTGATACATTTCTCTACCATTAAATTCATCAGGGTTTTTCTACAACTATTTGCTTAAATGTTATCTTCCCCATCAGACAAAAACCTCCACGAAGGTGTAGTGTGTGCCCTTCTTTCTTCTTCACATGTTATCTCCAATATGTTAATGTCCAGCAAATATTTGTTGAATGAATGAATGTTTAGAAAAAGTTATGGCTCCTCATAAATAAAATGTTTAAGTAGGAAACAATGATGACCTGCCAAGGAATTTAGAACAGAGATTCATGCTACAAACAAAAAGTTGAAATTCATCAAATACACAGATTCTTATCCTTTTCAGATGAAAGCTATTTCCCTTTATTAAAATTACACATGAAAATCAGGAAGGATATTTATTCACCTTTGCCATAATATCTGCATAGGCCATATATAAAAAATCTTCCTCCAGTTTGCTGGGGAAAACAAGAAGAAAACATCAGCGTTTCGGCAGAAGGCTAGGCACATGCAAACATATCATCACTGTACAAAATAACCTTTGTCCTTTTTCTAACGAGTATCCTTTTTAAAAATTAAATGAACACAAAACTTAGACAATATTAGGATATTCAGATATATCCTGAAATCAGAAAGCAAAGATCCCGGGGATCCTAAATAGCTGTCCCATCTTACCTTACAGAAGGGCCTTCAATTTTCACAAAATAAACTGTTTTTTGGTTTACAAACAAATGTAATACTTTTAATTTTCTTCAGACTAGAAAACTTGAAACAAGCAAACTTAAATGAGGCGGGGGCTTTTGACAGAAGTCAAATTTGACATTCAATGGAAAGATTCCCCAAATTACGATGTGACAATTAAAAAACAAGATGGCCATAACGATGATTCCTTAAAATTAAGAAAGGTTAAAATACGTTTATTATCTTCTTTTTTGAGAAGCATGGAAACCATGACTACGTGAAGAAAAGTATAAATACACCTAAAATTTGCAAAGTTATTTCAGCAGTTTTAAACTTCAGCCATGAGAAAAATTCACTTATGAGAAATACCTCATTACCTGACAATGCCAGACAGAGAGTTGTTCTATGCTTAGGAATGAGATGATTTTGTTAGTTAGGAAATAATAAGAGAGAGAAATAGTGAGAGAAAGGATGGATCACATTAGCTAAGAGGGAGAAATGTACATTATTATGGCATGCAAAGAGGTCAAATGAACTCTTCTGAGGAGATTCATGTGGATATGAGTTTATAATTAAATTACATCCCAAATTCTACAGAGAATGGGAAAGGCCTGGGGCAAAACTGGCTTTCTTTCCCATTGCAGGGCAGCAGATAAAGGTCCTCTAGCCTCTGCTATGTCCCATCTGCATAGCCAATGTATGCGTTGCTCTCCATAATGACAGATGCTGAGCACATTTTGATGATCAGGCTAACCAGTGCATTTCTTATGTAACTTCATAGAGGTTTGCCCTTTGTGGCTTTGGTGAATTCATATGACTAAGGCTGCAGAAGACAAGAAAAATGGGCAATGCCCTGGAAATAGATCTCAGAGATACCTCCAAGTTGAGGTGATGGCTCACTTAGCCTCTAGACGTTTCCTAAGACCCACTGCACAATGGAGACACTATCTACCCAGAAAATTTTGGGGTCACCATCGGTCTCCATATACTTGTGGCACTGGAATTTGCTTTGGTTCTTTTGTTTTATTTATAAAGGCTGTTTGTGATAAGGAGAAAAACCATTTCATAAGAAGAATCAGAATCAACTACATCATTAATTACAAAGTTGTTAAGAAAAACTAGAGCTAGTAGGTAGTTGCTAAAGCCTACAATTGAATGAGTGTCCATCCCTAGGTCCATGCCAGGCTGGTTGTTATCTTTGAACAAGTCTCTCTCCTAACAACATCAAGATGAACTTAAAACATGAACACGTGGCACAGAATACTCAGATACAGGTTTCTTTATTTGTTCCTCCTATGTCTCCTAGGAACCCTTCCAACCATACCATTTCTCTGTTAAAGCTGTCCGACTAAACAGAAGGATCAGCTGATGTAGAGGATCAACTCTCTTAGTGCCTTCATCTTCTTCTGGAGGGTCAGCCCCAGGTTTCTGCAAAAAAGTCAAATTTATAACATGTCGCATTTAAAAAAAAATGTTCACTCAAATCCAGAAGCAATGTGAAGGCCAGGAATGAAGAACGAAAGGAATGCAAACACTCCTCCTTCCCTGTTGTGGGGGTGTGTGTGTGTTTGTGTGTGAGCATGTGTGTGTATTTTATATGCATTATACACGCTACATATGTATATATGTGTGTATGTGTATATAAAAGCATGTATGTATATGTGTTGCAGGTAAATGTAAATATGTAATATATATACTAAACATATATAAATGTAATATGCTAGATATCTGTTACAGTATCATTGCAAAATTATACAGCTCGAAACAGAGATATTTAATAATTTGACCAAAAAATAATATGAGCAAGGATAACTTATAGCATTTAAAAATACTAAATTCTATTCTTATAAGCATTTTCATAACTCAAAGTGTATTTGCTACATGGATTTCAGCTTTAGGGAGGGCTCGATTTACAAATATTTGCAATAAAATCCTAAGAGTCACCCCAAGTGTGAAAATTTAGTTCCCATAGCAGTGCAAATTGCTTATAAAGTGAAACATTTTCTTTGCTTACACATAGCATGATAGGTAAATAATACTAAATGAGTTAATGCTTGAACCACTTATACTTTTTTCCTTATTTTCAAAAGTTACTTTTAAAACTTAAAGAAAAATTTTACTGTCAGATAGAAATTTAATAGTGAGGAAAATTATTAAGCATTTTTATTGGCAGTAGAATTCAATTACATCCAACTTTTTGTTGAGTTTTATATCTCCACTGACTTACCCATAGAAACTGATTTTCTCTCTACATGAATGGTGTGCTTTCCTGTAATTAAGACTTAATGTGGATATGGGGCAGATTTCCACAAGATATCCAATAGTCTACATATTTTTTACTCTAAAGACAGATAAAACTCATTTTAAAATATAGGGACAATCAAGATTAGGCTTTTAAGAATTAGATTAGTTTATCCATTCTATTCCCTAATAATCTGTAAGTTAAAAAATAGCTTTTGGACAAGATGTCTTTACTCTTGAGAATCATGAAGCCTCTGACTAGTCTGCCAAGTTTTGAGATGGCTTGTAAATTTTCTTGAGAAGATGGCTTTTGTCAGATATTTAAATGGGTCCATCACTTAGAACAGATGATATTGACCGCTGTTCTGTGCTGAACTCTCAGTACACAAGCTCTTTATCAGCACGGTCGGGTGAAAATTCTATTTCTCATGTTCCACATTTACCATGCCTTCCACCTCTCCTGTGTTCAGTCTATCATTCTCTGCCCTGTTGATTTTTAAAAACCAGCAACTTTTTGTTCACCTTCTACTTAATTTTGGTGGACAACTTCTTTACAGTTCAGTCTTTTATAGTTTATCCTGGTTCTCAGGTGTTTATAGGTGCTTTGAGAAGGAATTTAAAAGAATGAGTAAATCGGGTTTAATTAATAATACACTTATATTATTCATTTTAAATTCTCAACCCCTTGATGTTGATGAGATCTCTTGGAAATCACAAGAGCACATTTTCCCATAAGCATTGAATGCAGCAACAATTAAGATTTACAAGTTTCCTAATGCCCATATACTGTCATGATATTTTTTTCCTTCAATGTTATATAATGACTGCTCACACCAACATTGCTGCACCAAGCCCAGACCCTCTTTCCTCTCAGAACCCCTTTAAAAACATACTGCTAAATCTTCTATCAGTTTATCTTCAAAGTAATGTTCTTCTGTTTCAATCCAAGACTTTTCATATCCCTGAAGAAAGAGATTGACAGCCCGATGCCTAAAAGGTAAGCACAATTTCAGAAAAAGGGGAGTTTAGAAAATAAGTTGAAATTGTATCGAGTAGTGCTTTACTACTAGATTATCTGTGCACTAAAATTGTAAAATAAAAATAAATTCCCTATTCTTGATTTTCCTTCTGAAAGACAATGCTTCTTGCAGCAAACAGAGCAAGGTGTCTCAGAGCACACGGTGACTCGCATTTAAATCCTGGCTCAGTCATTTCCAAGCTCTGTAACGTTGGTCAAGTGATTCAACTTTCCCAAATTTCAGTTTATTCCTTTATAAAAGTAGGATAACTCCAACCACATTTCAGTTTTGTAAGCCTTACAATGAGATAAACGATGTTAAATCACATCCGTTAGATGTTCATTAAATGATGACTATTGTTATATAACATGTCTCTCAATAAGCAATGTAATCAGTGTCAATAGAGAAGTTAGTCTCTGTTTAAGCAAACATTAAAAACAAATGGATGGCCCTGAGGATTCCAAAACAAAAGCTATTGAGTTAACATTATGGGAGTACATATTCAAAGATTAAACCCTGCACTACTGATCATAAATGGCCGCCTATGAAAAAAGACCAGTGAAGACGAGAAGAATCAGTGAAATTCACGATGTAGTAAGCGATGTGGATAAGATGTCAATGCAAGCAAGAATAAAAGAATGTCATGAAGGGAGCATCATAAAACAACAACAGATGTGAGAGAACGAGAGATGGTGCCATTGCAGGAGAGGAGAAAGCTGAGCTTTATGATAGCAAACTGGGTTAAGGGCTCATGAGACCTAACGGTTAGATAGGTTTGTGAAGGGCCTTGAAAACCAGAGAGGGCAACTACCAATGCAGTCAGAACTGCTAGAAATCAGCAGACATTCTTGTACATGAGAGAGGCATGCCAAAGCACGGACTCAGCCTTTTTGGTTTATTAGAGTCACCTGTGTAGCTTTTAAGTAGCACATGCTGGGCTCTCATTGAAATTCTAATTAATAAGTTGAGGCCTGAATACTTTTTAAATGAGTTTACGTGTATTTCTTAAAAGCACCAGGTTGGGGAACCATTGGAATAAACGATACCGTTTTGAAAATGACATTTTGGAGAAGACTGAAGAACTCTATGACATCACAGAAACTAACTCAGAAACCACTGCCATCAACTTGATATGAGTCAAGGAACAAGTGACTTGAAGAGGTGGTGATGGAGGGAAGGATGGGAATGTGAAGTAGTTCAAAGGGAAACTGATTAAATCTGGGCAATGACAGTATAGGAGTAACTAAAAAGAAATGATAATGTGAATTCAAAGTTAATATTTTTTTTTTTTTCTTTCATTAAGTTCTGGGATACATGTATAGAACGTGCAGGTTTGTTACATAGGTATACATGTGCCATGGTGGTTTGGCTGCACCTATCAAACCCATCTTCTAGGTTTTAAGCCCCACATGCATTACGTATTTGTCTTAATACTCTCCCTCCCATTGCCCCCCACCCCCCGACAGGCCCCAGTGTGTGATGTTCCCCTCCCTGTATCCATGTGTTCTCACTGTTCAACTCCCACTTATGAGTGACAACATGTGGTATTTTATTTTCTATTCCTGTGTTAGTTTGCTGAGAATGATGGTTTCCAGCTTTAACCATGTCCCTGCAAGGGACAAGAACTCATTCTTTTTTTATGGCTGCATAGTATTCCATGGTGTATATGTGCCACATTTTCTTTATCCAGTCTATCATTGATGGGCATTTGGGTTGGTTCCAAGTCTTTACTATTGTGAACAGTGCTGCAATTAACATACATGTGCATGTGTCTTTATAGTAGAATGATTTATAATCCTTTGGGTATATACCCAGTAATAGGATTGCTGGGTCAAATGGTATTTCTGGTTCTAGATATCAAGGTTAATATTCTATTGATCAAAAGGTGACAGCATAATTGAGTCAGAGAATTGAGAAGTAGCACATTTGAGGAGGATGCTAATACATTTTAGACCCAGTGAGTGTGACATGATAGCAAGAAATACAACTGTCTCAGCAAAAGGGAAAAGTATGATGTTTCATCTGTTTGCTTTGCTTCTGTTTCTTTTTTTTTCTTTGCCTTACACATTCACTCAAACTCTTACTGAATGTCAATGTACAAGTCACTGTTCTAGGTGCTAAGAAAACGGAACAAAACTAGTACGGAATCTCAAAGTCTGAATCAAAGAGACAGGTAGCCTTAATACTGTAGGAAAGTGGTATGATGTGCAAGGAGTAGAAGGGCATGGCTTGGTCAGAGATGTTCCACAAAAGAGATGTAGCTGAGCTGAGTCCTGTTTACGAGACATAGAAATGATGCAATTTGTATAAAGTTCAGAGTGGGAAAGAGCATAGTTTCTCAGGAAAACTATAAGGTGGCTGAAATGGTACCCCGGACCACCTCAGTCAGACTTGAATGTACCAGACTACCTCTCTATTAAGTATGTCTGCTCTATGTCTAAGAGAAGGTTGACGGGCCTGTCAAATCTTTTTACGTTATTCCCAGTAGGTCACTTCTTTTCCCCAAATGCTAATAATTACAAAAATAATAATAATGACTAACATTTATCATGACATAAACTTATTATCTCACTTCTAAGCACTCTGTATACATCAACCCATTAAATAATCTGAACAACTCTATGAGGCTGATCCCATTATGATACAGATGAGAAAATTGTAAAGAAAGTCAGTCAATAACGACCAATGTCATGGGGCAGGGAAGTTGGGAGGTCAGAATTCAAACCAAGACAAGTCTGATGCCAAAGAATGATTGAAATCATGGTCTGATTCAAATCCAGGCCAAAGAATGATCTCCTAATGACTCTCTCTTGCCTCACATATGTGAGCAGATATTCCTCAGTAAGCATCATTTAGTAATTACATTATAGACCACAGTTCTCTGAAAATATCCAACAAAATTAGTCAAGTTTTACGTAGAAGAATAAATAAAGCTTTTCCATCCTTCTCTTGGACTATTGTACCCCTATTAAGGTAGATTCTAAACACCTGTCACTTATTAGGAAAAAATAACATTGATCTATTATAAAAAATAAAATAATTCTGACCTTGGCAGATTATATAAGGGGGCCATCCGGAAGCAGGCGACAACAGCCCTTTTCCTCTGCTTAGAGAGTAGTTTATGCCATACAGCCTTTTTAGATCTCTGAGGATGTTCCACCTGAGGTAGAATGACACAAATAAATATTTACACCCCAAACTACCTTCAAAAATAAATAACTATTTATACCCCAAACTATCTTCAAAAATATAGTATTAAACAGTTGCCCCTCTTAAGTAACCTATATTTGGAATTCCAATTCCAAAAGTACCTTAAGATTATCATGGAGAAGTCCATATCCTAAAAGTTACCCAGAGATAAAGTTTAGATAATTGCAAATGCTATATAATTCCCTTAGTAAGAATATCACATTTTCCCAATACTGTGTACTTCCAAGCTATGTCATCTCTAAAATCAAAGAAATAGAAAATCATTCCAGGTAAAATCATTTTATCTCCTTCTCAAAATTTTCTTTGGTTCTTTATGATTCTAATACATATTTTCTGCCTACAGAAAATATTACCTCATTCTTATTTATGTATCCATTGTAACTGTAATTTTATTAAGAGCTAAAGTAATAAACACAAATAGAGACAGTTAATAAAAATTCTACTATTCTTTAATATAACAGGATAAAGAGAAGAAGACAATGCTTTGTGCACACAGTATTAGGAGTGAGTAAATTTGGTAAAAATGTTAAAATATGTAAATATTTTGTTAGAGAGGGACAAATATAAATTCAAAAGTTGCAATAAATGATGCAAGCAAGTTATTTATATAACTAATAGTGTTTGGAACTCCAAGAGAAGAAAGAGATTAATTGTATTAGAAAGAAAAAATCCCAACATATAAACCTAAATTAATTAGTAATCTCTAGGCCATTGAGCACAGTACTTCCCAGACAGTAATGTCTCCGACCCACACGTTTAGACTTCTGAAAGAAATAAAAATGTTATGTTAGCTAAAAAAGTAAAACTACATTTATTATTCTTTGCAGTAAAGAGTCAAAAATGATTGTAATAATGTCTGAAGTAAACATTTAAAATGTTTGGGCTGCAATGGTTTAGAAATTTTAACAAAGCAACATGTTTAATGGAAAAGCACTTATTTCTGTGATGCTCTTCCCTCTCTAGGATCAATAAACACGTTTTGACAATTATCCACTTCAATTATCTTCTTGATGCTTGTGTCAAGTGAAATAAATCAATGTTATGCCTTAACATCAAAGTAAAAGCAATCAAGGGCAATAGTTTTCAATGAGACCCAACATGTTTCAATTTAAATTTCCACTTTGAGATCCCAGTCTGTAGATGATGACTTTTTGCAGGAATTACAGCATTATGGTCGGCATGGGTGACAGTCAACAAACATATATTAAGTTCCTAAGGCATTTATGATACAGTAAACATCACAACAGAAAGGGTTCCTGCCACCAGGAAGCTTATCATTTGGCAGGCATTTATTACCTGCCTATTCAAGTATTTCAGGAAATACCTAAAACAGTGTGCTTTCCTCTAAATCAATTATAATAGTTATCTGTAAGATATGTGATCCAAAGGCGAACACCAAGATGTATCTTGTAACTCTGTCTGAATGTCTTGAGGTGCTGATGTGTTAGCTTGGCTAGAATTTGATTATTAGAAAATTCAGTGGAGAAAACCTACTCTCATAAGAAACATTACCAGATATACAACACAAAATATACATCTAAAACAGGCCGCTGATACTTGAGATAAATTAAATCAACAAGTGTTTCCTGTCCACCTACACTGGGTTTTACACTGGGTTTTGCAAGTTAAAATATTCTTTACACGCTCCTCTGTGACTCAGTTACATGTTATCATTAGCATGGGGATAGTAAAGGCATAAATTAAACACACGGATATCTCCCACTGCTTTTTATTTTTGATAATCGACAATTTCTTTTTACTCAAAACCCTCCTCTCATGATAAACCAATCTTGCCATATTCTTAACAGTTTGATAAACTCTGATCCTCCCATCTTTTTCTAGATAATTCCTACCGTAAGATTTATACAGGGATTACCTAGTTCATATCTACATTAAGTTTGAGTTGCTCCTATGCTTTCTTCAGCACATTTTATATCCTAACACCTCCGTATCATCGCATATTTATCTGCTTACGTGTCTGTTTCCTCTGTTACAGCACTCAGTCCTCCAGAACTGGTGGGGCTAAGGCTGCCCTAGGACAGGGCACTCCATAAACATCCAAGGCATAAATGGATACTTAGAAAAGTGAATCTCATTTGAGAAGTGCCATCATTCATCATGATTGGATATATTTATGAATATATGGGAATATAATAAAATAGAATCAGATTTCAATAAGCTTCATTTAATGTATCTAGAATTTATTCAAGCAAATCTACATATATGTATAAACACTAGGAAGAATTAAAAACTGATGGTAGAGTAACGCGGTCCTCTTGTAGCCGTTTAATTAACCTTTAATAATCTTAAAAATATATATATAATTCTGGAGATATAACTCCATGACTGTATATAAATCCCTTAAAATTTCATTACAAGTCTTGTCATCTGCTGATTGATGATAATTTGTATTTAATATTTCATGAAAATATTATGTAAGTTATTCTGGGGAAAGTATTAGTTCCAAGGCATTAGATACTGTAAATATATGTTAATAGCCATAAGGCCTAAGGGTATCCTAGTGACTTTAATCTCATCAAGTGTAGTGATAAATTGCATGGCAATAGAGAAATTATTAACGTTTGGGGGAGGGTATCTGAGTAAGCAAGAAGGAAATTAAAGGATACTATATTAGACGATATCTTTGCATTATTAAACTGTCCAGGGCAAGGGTGAGGGTTCAGATAATATAAAATAGGAATACAAGCAAAATGTTTATTACTGCTATGATAATATGTCCAAATATGGCTAAAGGCAATACAAAATCATACACACAGACACACACACACACACATACACACACACACACACACGTATTTAGGTGGCAAAGTTCCTGAAATGGCATACGACCTCTTATTATTATTTCATATTTGGTATAAAATAACCAAGTCATCAACAGTATGATCTGTCATAAGAGCCCTGACAGATCAATGGTCAGATTACAATGAGCTTCTTCACTATGTGATTATTTTGCTGAATGGACTTGATGAGAAATAGATAATATATCTCTGTGTTGCAGATATTTTACCTAAGCCAGGCGATCCCTTCTATAAAAATATGACCCTCTGATTGATAATGTTTCAAGTATTCTTGTTTTACACATTCTTGTGCAAAGGTAATGAATAAGAATATCAAACTCAGCTTTGTAAAGTAGGACACAACTGAAAAAATTTATAAAAACACTTTTCTTACATGATTTTAATATCTATCAACGCATTGTTCTTCTCTAAGTGTAATTTGTTCCTGATTTCAGAGAAAATTAGCTCAAAAATATACCTAATAAAAGGCAAGGTTAAACAAGTGACAAAAAAGAAAATATTTCAAATATTAAACCAATAAAAGATAATATCTCATACATGTTTTTATGAGCAATAATAAAAAATGAAGTACGCCTAAAGTATTTGAAATCAGATGTAACTCCTGAATTTTTTGGTTAGAATACTTTAAATATATAATCCTAATATTTTTAGAAATATTTGAAAAAAGGCAATAAAACAAAGGCCAGGATCTCCCAAAATATATAATCTATATATTGCTACAAGAATTATAAGCTTAGAAATTGTCTTCATGAAATGCTAAGCACACCTGACTCTTATTCTTTAGAACGAATATGCTGAACATATATGTTTTTTGGGTCATAGTTAACAAATCAACACACATTCTCTTTTTAAAATATTTGTATGTGGCTAAGGCAAATATGACTGAATTGACACAAAGCCTGACCTGTTCAAGATGAAAAAGCACATTTGCTATATCCAATACTCTTTCTACCGTCTTCTCTGGATCTGAGGTATCATCAGTCCTGTTTGGTAAGTCTTTGTAAAGAGCCATTTGCCATCTAATAGCAGGATCCTCCAACTGCAGGAAAAAGGAAAAGGTTACAATGGGAAGATGGGAATCTAAAAGACAAGGTTACAATCTCAAGATGGGAAGAGTCCACCCACCATTATTCATTGGGCTTTTTTTTTTTTTTTTTTTTTTTTTTGAGAAGGGATCTTTGTTACCCAGGTTGGAGTACAATGGCATGATCTTGGCTTACTGCAACCTCTGCCTCCCAGCTCACGTGATCCTCCCACCTCAGCCTCTCAAGTAGCTGGTACTACAGGTACAAACCAATGCCCAGCTACTTTTTTTTTTAAGAGATAGTTTTTACCATGTTGGCCAGGCTGGCCTCGAACTCCTGGACCTCAGGTGATCCGCCTGCCTCGGCCTCCCAAAGTGCTGGGATTACAGCACTTTGGGAGGCCGGCTTATTTATTGGGCTTTACAGTGTTTACTAGTTAAAACGTGACACGCAGCAGCAGTTATGTAGGATGAACAGGTCTGGAGATCTAATGTACAGCATGGTGATTACAGTTAATAACATTGCAATTCATACTGGAAATCTGCTGAGAGTAGATTCCAGGAGCTCTTAGCACATACACACAAAAGGTAACTCTGCGAGGAGATAGATATGCTAATTTGTCTGACTACACCAATCATGTCACTATGTTTATGTATATTGAAACATCCTGTTGGACACCTTAACTATGTACAATTATTAAAAATCAAAAATACTAAGAGAGAAAGACAGATAAAGTCCTGGTCATCATGAAATTTATCATCTATTAGAGAAGATAGACATTAAACAAATATTTATAATTGTGATAAGGGCTACTAAAATGAAATATAAAGTACCATTAGATTTATCCTACTCTTTGGTGGTTAGGGAGATTTCCCTTAACACAAGACGTTGTAACTAGGGCTTAAGGATGAGTGGGAAATTGGAGAACAAAATGGGTAAGGCTACCCTCGCTCTTTCTCCTCCCCATTCACAGTCTAATTGTAGAAAGATTTCTATGTTTACTTTTATCAGCAAGCATATAGGATAGCATTTACCTATAAATATTTGGACTCTACAACAGAGTTTAATTTCTCTGAGACAAAGATATTAAATTATATTAATCAATAGAGGTTGTTAAAATCATACTCATCATAAAGGAGTCTACACATTTCACTTTTCAATACTATCAAATTTCCTCGGTGAAAAATGTATATGAAATCTTCATGTTTTTTAGAAACATTATTATAAGTCATAGAAATTGACAAAAGCAAGCAACTTCACAGGGATAGAACATATCAGTTCAAAGAAATAATATACAGTAAGTATGTTATTAAAAATGGACAAAGCAGCCAGGCACAGTGGCTCACACCTGTAATCCCAGCTACTCGGGAGGCTGAGGCAGGAGAATCGCTTGA